TTAAAAAAAAGCATAATATTTGTGTCATATGTCAAAAATGACAGGCTTTAGAAAAAAAAAACAGAAAACACAAACTCATTAGGTATGTGATTATCTACAACTTTTATCTGAAAACTTTTTGTCTAAAATACCGTATGATCGAATAAAAACGGCGTCAGCGATGGCTATGAAATGACGATCGATGATATTTCCCATATAATTTTACATATAAAAACGATCTTTATTTTATAGCCATCGTTGACTCCGTTTTTATTCGATCATACGGTAGATTATAATGGAATTAGAGACAAGTTTTAAAATAGCTAAAATTTGTTTTTTTTTCGAAATATCTAGTAAGCCTTGAACTTCTCCGAAAAATCCGAAAGGCGCATATTTATGACCCCACAAAACTGCAATTCTTTCCCCATTTAACCGACTCTCTGTCTCCAGTAGTTTCCGAGATACCCATAGCGAACAGCGTAGGGAACTCACCCTGTATACTACTTAGAAACTAACTATTATTATTATTTGACTAGATTAATTTGGTTAATAAGACTCGATTAATTTATTTTAAAATAAATTTGATCAGATTTTTTTTCGTATATTCTACTACCAGAAAACCAAAATTATATGATAACGCACTTTTCAACGAAGTTGAAAGAAGATATAAAAACAAAAAGAAAAAATACCCAAATACCTTCACCTACTACTCATCTACAAAATAAACGAATATAATCTCATAAAAACACTACACAACTACTTCTTGTATTTTACACTGAAAAAATTATCAAACTTACTAATTAACCAAACAAAAAGAAAAAATAACCAAATTATCCCTTCACCTACTACTTAACTACAAAATAATAAACTATAAAAACACTAGTAAACTAATTCTGGTATTCTACACTAAACATTATAATTAAACTTAATAAAATTAATCTAATTTTACACTACAACCACTACAACTACAAAGAAATAAGAACATTTTTTAAAACTAGAAGAAACAGAACTTCGATACGTGTGACCAGTATGATAGATCAAGCTGACAAAGAATATAAAATACTTTAAAAATGTGCATTCAGAAAGAGAAAATATCTCGAAAATTATCTAAACAAACAATTTTTTTTCTTATCAGTGAAAAGCATCGGCCTCGTCGGCCTTGCGGAATTTGTCGGGTATTTACAATGGTCGAATTGAATAATTACCAGTTTTTATAGCATATCTAATAGACAAAAAGTATCTGGTCGATTAGTAACCAATTGGCACAGTACGAAAATTATCGATTTTTATTTTCTCTGTTTTTATTGGTCGCTTCAAAATTCAGAGTAACAAAAAATATTTTTCTGTAGTAAAAGACCGTGAAATACGCCCCGCCATCTGGTGCTTTACATCCATAAACGTCTTAGGTTGAGCTACTTTAAAAATTCATATACAAGGGTATTACTAATTTTTTTAATATAATTTTATTTAGTGCTACATTTTATCTTATTTATGAATAACTCCTCCCGTATATGCGCCCCTGCTTCGTTATGAACAACATTGTACTCTAGACTCTACATTGTAATTTAATATACCTACTATTTTTTAAAGCGAAAAAGTCAAAAGTTGACATTTGATGCACAATGTCATTTAAAAATCAAAAGTTTTAGTTATTTCCGGTGAAACAGGAAGTGACCGAAAATAATTGAATACATCAATCAATTCAGATTTATCTCGTTTTTTTGTTTGAAAAAATAAAAAATATAGGGATGCACTTTTGAAAAACACCCGGTATTGTAAGATGGTAAATAAATGTACGTAATTAATCAAGGTATATACTTCCATTTTTTATTTATTCCTATTCTAATTTCAAACACGTCAATCTATGAATCAAATAACAACTAGCAAATATTGTTAGAACGGATTGTCTTTACAAGAGGAAAAACTTTTTTATTATTGACGTTTTGAGAAAAATGCATTTTTCATAAAAAAAGTACTTGTTCTAAAATCCAACGAGTGCGTAGCACGAGTTGTGCAACCCCACAAGAAGTACCGTATGATCGAATAAAAACGGCGTCAGCGATGGCTATGAAATGAAGATCGCTGTCATTTTATATGTAAAATTAAATGGGAAATGTCATTGATCGTCATTTCCAAGCCAACTAGACGCCATTTTTTTTCGATCATACGGTATCTTAATGGAGTTAACTCGCGTGTATTGTACAATATTTTATCTACGTCTAACTATAAAAACACAATGAATTTAAAAAAAATATTGTACTTAACTTATATACCTACCCTAAAAATCAATTACCTTAATACCTTTGTTCAAATAACACCATGCATGGCAATGTCAATATGACAGTAAATAATATTGATGTAACTAGTTTAAAAAATGAGCGATTCGGAAAGTATTCCCTCTGACATTGGAGAAAAGAGGCATTCAGAGCCATTTCTGGATTGTTTCCAGCAAGATCGAAACAGAAGTATAGATATACCGTATGATCGAATAAAAACGGCGTCCAGTTGGCTGGGAAATGACGATCGATGACATTTCCCATATAAATTTACATACAAAATGACAGCGATCTTCATTTCATAACCATCGCTGACGCCGTTTTTTCTCGATCATACGGTACATACTCTAAGTATGAAAAACGGTGCACCGAAAAAAAAAGTACACAACACTATGGAAATGAAAAGGTACTCATAAAATATTTTTCCAATTTATCCGCTACTTATAAGCCTTCGTCTCTTTGGGCTTTGGGCAATGATACGCACTATGATATCTATTTAAATGAATATAATATGCTTCATCAGGCATTGAAATATTTCATTGACTTGAAATATTGTTTAAACTGTATAATTAACACATAATAAATAAATTTCATGTTTTTATAATTATTGTCAATAGAACAGTTTATTTGTATTTAGTAAATATTTAGTGCAAAATAAATGTTTTACAAAATATTTTTTTCCCGTTTGGTACTCATCTAAACAAGGAGTGCGGTAATGAAAATGCGTGAGTTAAAAGCTTCTTAACTCACTGAAGGTTGATAATATTTACCGGAAATTGTGATACTTTAATAACATCAAAAAATATGACGTTAATCAAAATTAATAATAACCATCTATCAAAGAATGAAATCGAAATTATATTACCATAGAAACACCTTTTGATTTTTAGGATTTCTCTTTTATTATTTTTAGGAAAAGTTCAACCATATTTAATAATTTTTTAATTTTCTCTAAAACGGCATGGAAATTTGGAAAAATATAAACGGCATTAAGGAATTTGGAAGAAGTAAAATTATTTGAAAAAAAAGAATGCATTTTAATAAAAAAGGTTTTCCTCTTGTAAAGACAATCCAGGACATACTGTACAGGGTGGATCAAATTCGACGCTTTTAAATGGAAACACCCTTTTCTATAGGAGATAGACAAAAACTAATATCGGTGTCTGGAGCCCAATTTTTGTCAAAAACATGATGGTGAAAACCGCATATCGATATCTGTTACCGTTTCGGAGTTACGGGGTGTTTTTCAAAAATATGCATTTCTAACAAATCGCTGTAACTTTTTTGCTATGGAAAATTTTGTATTTTTATGAAAACATTTCCAAAGCACCTTTTTACGTAGAATTTAATGGTTTAAGTATAATTTTTTTAAAATTAATAAATTAAGAATTATCAACAGAAAATTTGATTTTTTGTAGGGGATACCCTGTATAATTTTAATTTATTGAAAAGAATTTAAAATTACCTTTCCAAAAATATAAGACACTTGATATTTTGCTCGATTCCTCTTCGAGAAATAGAGTATATAAAAATTCGCCCGCTTTAAATAAGTAGGCTTTGACCGGCACCGGCTGTAAAGCAAAAAAAATTCTAGCTGTGAGCATCAATTAAAACGAAAATAATATTTGCTATGAGAGATGCAGAATTTTATAACAATTTAAACTATATTTAACCAACATCGACCCATTTAAACTATATCTAATAACAATAAAAATAAATAGCAAACCAAGATATGAGATTTTGCTACAGGTGTTCGACTTATCGACAGTCTTCTGTTATGGACAAACGGGGCAGTTTTTGAACATTTCTCGCGGAATTCATTAACTCAGTGGGGGTGAAAGATACCCTCTCATAACTGCTAAGCATTTCTAATTCTTATCTAGATTATACGGAAGAATAAGGAACCTTTATTCTCCCGCAAATATATCCATAGGATTACATCCATGGGCACTAAGTCAGGCGGCCTCGACGGCCAACGGCTGGGATCTTGGTTAGCTCTTCAATTATTCTTGAAATTGGCTACAAAAATTTGCTGAGAACTTCAGCATTCAGAGGCGGTGCGTCGTCTTGCTGGAAAAATATGTTTTCGAGTTCCATTAAGGGCATATCATCAATAAGGGGTCCAAAGCCTACTAGTTTAAAGTGACGAACTTTTAAAAATTCTGTATTTCGAAGAGGATTATAACAAAATATCAAGTGTGCTATATTTTTGGAAAGGTAATTTTAAATTCTTTTGAAATATAGGGGGTGTCCCAAATAAAAAATCAATTTTTCTGTTGATAACTCTTTAATTATTAATTTTAAAAAAATATACTTAAACCATTAAATTCTACGTAAAAAGGTGCTTTGGAAATATTTTCATAGAAATACAAAATTTTCCATATCAAAAAAGTTATAGCGATTTGTTAAAAATGCACATTTTGGAAAAACACCCCGTAACTCCGAAACGGTAACAGATATTGATGTACGGTTTTCACCATCATGTTTTTGGCGAAAATTGAGCTCCAGACACCGATATTAGTTTTCGCCTATCTCCTATAGAAAAGGGTGTTTCCATTTAAAAGCGTCGAATTTGACCCACCCTGTACATACTCTTATTAAATGCCATATCTAATAACAGGAGTATATGTATAAATAAAACCACACACAAGTATGTGTATGTAATGTACCTATATGTAATTCTAAGTTTTTAATTGATAGTTTCGCTTAAATTTTCTTAATAAAAATATAATGTTTTTGTTTCAGTCTATGACATATCCGAATACCGTCGTAAACACATGAAGAAATACGCCTCCCATGAAATGTTCCGCGCCGACAACCTTCCTGCCTGGCGCATACGTCAGCAGAGCTTTAGAGAAGCTCTGGAGGAGGCCTGCGATTGGCTGGACGAGTCGGGACACCACGTGGCCATTTTGGACGGGCCCAACGTGTCCCGCTCACAGAGGCAGGAAATCTACGATTTGGCCCACGGCCAGCGCGGGTTCAGAGTGATGTTCATAGAATGCGTTTGTGAGGATCCTGTACTGCTAGAAAGAAATTTCAAGGTAAACACTAAGCATCAAATATTTATAGATTAGATTTTTTGATGTGGGTCTTGGCCTATTCCACTGCGTTTACACGAGTGAAGTGAATTGATCAAGTCACTTGAATTCAACTGATTTGAAAGCATATCGTCGGTGAAACGTGATAAACTGCTAACTCCAATATTCCTAATTTTACAGGAGAGCAAAAAAACGGTACAAAAAAATACGTACACATGTAGGAAGTATTTTGATGCGTTAATATGATAAAGAGATAAGAATTTTATTTGCTGGGGAACAATAAAACTCAATATTTCGTGTTACGTCATTTTTTTCAGACACAATAAGGAGATAGCAGACATTCGTCTTGCAGAAATAAGAAATAAAAATATACTTCTGGAGATAGCAACCTTTATTGTTTGAAATTTTGAAAATGGAAATGAATATTACCCAAACAGATTTAGAAATAATCAATTAAATTTAAAAAATATGATATTCAGAACCATATATTTATAATATCATCGGTCTAGAAGCAAACAAGTCCGAAAACGAATAAATTTTTAATGAAAATTTTAAATTTTTTGCATTTTTAAAGAACTGAAGTGGCAGAATTTTGGACTTAATGAATATGAAAATAATTTAAAAATTAAACTTATAATTCTTAGAAGATAGGGTAGAATCCTTCCATGCTTATCCTAATTTTTATACGCAACGGTAGTAGACCGAGCTTGGAAGACCAGTGCGTGATTTTATTAAATTTTTGTTACTTTTCTCCTTATTTTTTTAATTTTTATAAAAATGATGTATCATTTACGTGAAAAAAATGAAACTGATTAGGTATTATGGAAATTCTTCTACAAGTAAGTAAAGCTATTTAAACTATTTATAGCACGCATATGAATTGCTCGTATATAGAGAATTTCGTTTTTCCCCTTACCCTTTACCGATACCCCGTATTTACAGAACGGATCGACGCAGGGTCGGACTGGCAATATTATATAGATAACTTTTTTCTTGGGGGAAGGGGCAGCCTTTGCGGGCCCCCCTATAGTTCATTATTTATTCTTAACCATATTTGCTTTTGCATAGCATTATGGAATTTGCATTGCATTGGTTTGGTTTGGACCTTGCATTAGGGTAGTTCCCTGATTTCTATACAGGGTGAGTATTAAATAAGTGCAAATATGTTCAGGGCTGGTAAATCTCGATAAAAGAAACATAATATCTTCTCTTTACCGTTTTTTAAAATAAATCCAAAACAACCGAGTTATTTCACTTTTAAAATTTCCAATTTTTTGCTATAATTTTGAGAATCATTGGATTTTCTTTCTTGTAAATTTAACCTACTACCTATGTTACCATATTACAAACATAGTATGTTTTTAAACTAAAAATTAAAAAAAAAATCAATTTTTTTTTAAATTCCAAATTTTTAAAAAAAAAATTTCGCGCAAAAAACCTCATAATCGTGATTCTTGGATCGAAATATACTACCCTAAAAATATTTGCACTTATTTAAGACACACTCTGTATATAATAGGGAAAAATTGACCAAAACATAAGGCGAAAAAATACGCAAAAAAACACACGGGTCCCTCCTTACATTGCCCCCCGGGCCCCTTTGGCCTAGTGCGACCCTGGATCGACGTACTGTACTAAAAAAAGATACGACTAAGAATCTGTGTTTTTGCTTTAGCGTGATCGTAACGGAAATTACGGAGATAGCAGCATTTCGGTGGCTATTTCAGATCACTAGGAGTTAGCAGATATTATTGAGTTAAAATAAAAAAAAATCTTTAATGGGAAAAAATGTGTTTGCTTTCCCTATTTATAGAGTATTTTTTTCTCTTTCTAATGGTATAAAAAAACTTATCAACGTAAAAAATGGAGTTAGCAGGTTATCACGTTTCACTGGCGATATTCCGTGTTTACACATTTCATGTTAAGATTCTATTACGCTGTATCGTTCGGGTCGCTGTCAGGTGTTGGGTAAAGCGGGTGTATGGCCGAAGGAAATATATACTATATTTCAGAAATCTGCTTAAGGCTAAGTCCGATCCGGTCGTGTTAAGCCACACTCAAAATTCCAAACACACGTGCTTTGATTAAGGCTTGATTAAGGTTTACAGAGCTTCAGCATTTGCCATAAAATAGCAAGCAGTTTTTACAAAACCATATAAATTATATAGCCCTGTAATCACAAAACAATCTATTTCCGTATTGTAACGGAATTTGAAATTATGTCTTTATTTTCGAGAAAATTTAGTCTAAACATAAGGAATATTTTGTTGATGTTTGAGCTTTAAAATCTTAAAAATAAAGAAGTTGTCTAAAAATGTGCTACAATACTACTGCGATGGACTCTTAAAAAGCTTCTGTTAGTTGATTCAAAATGGCGACAATGCGTAAGCCTCTACTTCAAACTTCCAAAATTATGGCAATAGAATTAACAGAAAGTTTATTACGTAAAAAACCAAAACGTAAAAGAACAATATTGGTCAGAAAATAGATTAGCCGCAAAACTACTTATGGTGCATCTCATAATTTAGCTTGTTGGTTGGATATTAACTTATAAAGTTTCTTTGTAGTTTTAATCTTATAAGTATGTAATCACCAAGACCTTTGAACTGGCATTATTCTCTTTTTAGTTTATAATTGTATGCATCGGCCGGCAATACTGTAGATTTTTGATCAAACAGTTTTGATAGCCTAAAATTGATTTTGCGTTTATGTCCTATGCCATATATCCATTTGTTCTTCAATTCTTACCCCTGATGATCTTATCACGTCTTATAGTTTTATTTTGGGAGGTATAAAATTATAATTGTATATACCATCACTAATGGTTATTCAAAATAATTTCTTTCATTCTGTGCTTAGTTAAATCATCATCTAACTCATGTACTGTAACTCGCATTTAGTAGATTTGTGGAAAAAGTGTGGAAAGGGAAGAAAACTACCTGTATTAAACTTGATATTTTTCTAAGATACGTCGAAACCAAATACTATTACTGATAGATACAGTTACAGCGCTTCGTGAGATAAAAGTGTGCCTGTAGGGAAGAGTTGGCATGATTGATACAAACGAGGAATCTTATAACACGTTTCATTTATATATATATTGACTGAATTCTGACAAATTCTCTTAACTTGCAGCATTGTCACAAGTTGATCTTGTATTTTGTATTGGACTGGGATGTTTTTATTATTACTTTTTTATCTGTGATAATAATATTGTGTGTGGTGTGTGTAGTAGAATACAGTAGTATTCTATCGGCCTTTGGTGAAATAACAATAAATAATAGGAAAGAGTGCAAGTAGTAATCCACGTGCTTTATTTTTCTGTAGTAAGATGAGCTAGTTTAAGTTATAATTTTGCAGAACGGATTTCTTACTTAACGACGACATATTTTATATTGCACAGATCGAAACAAAACTAAATAAACCTCTCTCGATCTGGATCGCCCAATTTTTTCTGTGCATGTTAGCTACTGGTTAAAATGCTTTTATAGCGTTACGCCTAAGTTTTTTAGAATTTAGAATGAGTGGGAGGGGGGTTAATCACTTCGACCTTACAGATCCATTGTGTCCCCCTTTCTTGAATCATAACTCATCATACAGTCCCAGGGCTTTGACAAAAGCCAGTATCTGGGACGGTTTTATAGAGGGTAGTTCTCCATCTCCAATATCAGTCGTACCAAAATTCATGGCACGAATGGTTGTCGTCTCGGCGCACTCAGTGATGAGGTGTACTGGTGTTTCACCATCTTCCCCACAGAATCTGCATTCGCCGTTTCTTCTTAGTTTCAATCTACTGAGGTGTTCATTGAGGAGACAGTGTCCTGTTAAAAACCCCGTGACAATCCGAAGATTGTTCTTACTCAGACCCAGGAAGATCTGTGATTTTTCTTGATCATAAGCCCTCCGCCTAAGTTACTTGTATCCGTTTATAAGAAATTTTGGGCCCAGTTACTATTTTCCGTCATGTACAAATGTACTTTATGGGGTTTAAAAACAAAATTCCTACTATGCCTCACACTATGCATTCCACAATAACGGTTTTGTGTCTTTTAAATGCATAGACACAGATAACGGCATTATTTTAACAAAATTCCTACTGTATAATTACGGTTTTGTATTTTTAGAGGCACAGACGCAGGTACGGCATTGTTTTAATACAATTCCTACTGAATGTCAGTTATTATTTGCATTCGAGTAACAGTTCCTTTTGTGTCAACACAATTCTTATTTTGTGTAATAGTACACATTATTCCTTTTTTAAGTCAGCCTAGGCACCAGTGACATCACTTTCAGTTTTGTGTGCTATTTGACACAAAAGAAAGGCCTAGTAACGTAACAACGTCACCTAGAACACATTTCCCTCGAAGCAATAAAATGCTCACTGGGGATACTCTGTATAACAAGGATTTATTAAATAAACATTTATAATACATTATTTCAAAAAATTCTATAACAATTAGCTAAGACTAAGGTTTTTATATTGGTTTATTTCCATGTGATATTTTATTGTCAATGTTGTTATCTACAATACTATATTACTTGTCTAGACAAAATATCCAAAAGATTTAAGGCTCTTTGAAATAAAACTGTTATATCGAACTTCCATTGTCTTCATTTTTTTTTATTTATACAACAACGTGTCAAATAGGTATTTCACTCCAACTTTATCCACTTTATCAACTAGGTTGGCTGAAAATCTTATTATTGTTTCGAATTAGAGGAGAACCTTTAAATCTTCGTTCCTTCTAATGCGACTCCTTGTGGAAAAAGATGTCTGGTCTTTATTGTACCTATTTTTTCTTGTTGCTATTCCAGGAAATCCTACAATATGGCGCTGATTACCATGACATGGCTACAGAACAAGCCCTAAAAGATCTTACGTTCAAGATGGCCCATTACAAAGCCCAGTACGAGTCTCCGACGTTGGGCAGCTTGTGGGAGTTGCCCTGTCCCATGGTGAAGTTACTGGACGGGGGTGATGGTGGAGTAATTGCTCATGGAGTCACCGGAATCAAGGAAAGCAAAATTTTGGCTTACGTCTCCACTCCCAAACCCTATCAACAAACTTTATACTTCAGCAGAGTAAGTATATCGGCTATTATTTAGGACAGGGTGTCTCATTTTCGTGTGTTTTATAGGGTTTCTCATTTATGAGTAGAGATACAAAGGTACGGTTTTCATATCACCGTGTCAGGCGTGTCACTTTTTTATGATCAGAGCTTCAGGAAAATTCAACAATATTTTCATGTTTTTCCTAATTTTCTCTAAAACGGTATGGAAATTTGGAAAAGTATAAACGGGATTAACCATTTTAAAACAATCAAATTTTTTTATGAAGAATGCATTTTTCTCAAAATATCAATAATAAAAAAGTTTTTCCTCTTGTAAAGATAATTCGGGGACATTGTAGAGGGTATTTTCATGGACCAGTTGGGCTAAAAATATTTTTTGGAATTCTTTCAGATAGGACCTCTTCTTTAATTATTATCTTTAAGTATAAGATTATTAATATATTCCAAACCAAACCTCTATAACTTTTTCTATTTTTTCGATGTTTTCTGTTTCACTGGAAACTTCCTGTTTCACCGGAAATGACTACTTTTTATTTTGAATAACATCCTTGGTATTTTTTTACTTTATTCGATAGAAAATGACACTCTAAATAGAATATCATATGTCAACTTTTGATACTTTTACTTAAAAAATCGTATTTTAAACTTCAATCTAGTATGGTGCCTAAGTGCCAGTAGTGCCATGGCTGTGTTATATTATGACACTAATTTTTAATCAAGGAGCCTTGGAAAATAGATTTGATCGTCGAATGTTTTTCTTGTCTTATCCTGACCGGTTAAAAGATGCCCAAATCGTATTTTTAATCATATATCTCAATCTTTTTCAAATGGAACGAGGGTGGCTCATTAGCATATTTGGAACAAGTATATTTTTGCGAATAATTTGGTGTTATTTAATAACATATTTTGAGTCAATGGGACTCAAATTTAAAATGTTATTTTTGTTAATTGAAAATTTCATCATTTGACATATGATGCCATTCTATTCAGAGTGTCATTTTCTATGGAATAAAGTAAAAAATACTATGGGTGTCATTTAAAAATCAAAAGTTGTAGTCATTTCCGGTGAAACAGGAAGTGACCGAAAATAATTGAATACGTCAATCCATCCTAATTTATGTCATATACTAACATACCAAATCTCGTTTTTTTTATTTGAAAAAAAATTAGTTATAGGGGTGATACCACTTGTGATTATTACATTATGTCAGTATTCGTTCCTTTTGTACACTACTTATAATAATATTCAGTAGCTGTAACTATTAAATTTATCTTGGCTAACAAGATGTCTATATTTCGTGCTAAAAATAATCCGGTTCAGTTAAACAAGCCTTGTTCTTTGTTATCACAAATTGGACTCGTGAACAAAGTCTAATTTTATAAGTGTTAAACATTTTCCGAAAAAATATCGTATGGTGCGTATTTCACAAATTATGACTTTGCTGGTGAGAAAAATATTTATTTTGAGCTGTAAAATTTGCTTATATAGATGATAACATTTGTCTGAAATATGCAGTAATTTCAAAGTCAATATTGTGTTTGAGAAAACAATGAAAAATTATTGCTTGACAATAGGTTTCTTTAAGTATATAACTTAAAATCAGAGTACACTGTTAGTTTGTAGGATATTTCTTCTAACCTTGACTCAATCTATGTCAGTTGTTTCCCTTTTTATACTACTTAAATATTTAGCATCTGTAATACACTTTTTTAAATTTATCTCGGCTACAAGATGTCTACAATTCGCTCTAAAAATAATCCGGTTCAGTTAAACAAGCCTTGTTCTCTGATATCACAAACTGGACTCGTGAACAAACTTTAATTTTATAAACGTTCAACATATTCCGAAATTATGTGGTGTGATTTGCGACAACTATTTACTATATCGTATAGTGCGTGTTTCACAAATTATGACTTGGCCTGTGGGGAAAATATTTGCTTTTATAGATGATAAGATAGTAATATTTTTCGAAAATATGCAGTAATTTCAAAGTCAATATTTTATTCGAGAAAACGACACGATATATACAGTAAGACCAATTTACTATGGATAAATTCAATAAAAAATAGGGTATAAGGTATAAACTATTCCAAAAAATACTGCCATTCCTGTATATTTATACTAATTTATGCATTTTTGGACTCAGTTTTGTATACAGGGAGTGGCTTATATAAATGGAACTAAAATGAATGATCTTTTACTTCTCTGCCGACGTAATGAAAGTATTATCCTTTCTCTTAGAAATCAATCTGTATAAAAAAAAAAACTAAAAAATTATTTTTTAATTAAATTTTCGAATTTTCTTAGGAAAATATGATTATAATTTTGCCATTGTTTTCTATATATGCTTAAATTCCAACAACTGTTATAATCAAGATGCTATTTCAGTTATTTCAGTATACTGATGGTACATTGGTTTTGTTTTTATATTAGAATCTTACCAGCAGCTTAAATATACAGAGCCGCTGTTATGTATGGAAACGGTCGAATATTAAGTAAAATATACGAGGTGCCGCAAAAAATTAAATATAAAATTTATAGGGTTTATAAATATCTATTAATATCGCTTTAAATTTAAGTTTACAGGGTCGGTCATAAAGTCGTGGCTCATCAAAGTTTATTTTTTTTTAAATGGAACCCCCTGTATATTATTGCATATTTCGGTTCTTCCTTCAATTCTAAGCAAAAATCGAAATACACACGTACCTCATACCAACGTTTCCGAGTTATTGACTTTTGAAAATATTACTTAAACAATTTGATTTCATTAATTTCGATATGGTCAGTTTCATTTAACTAAACTATGCAATTTGGCCGAAACTGTGATACTTAATAATATTTGACATTATTCCTCAAGTTACCATTATTTATAGATATGTATAAAATGAGAGTATAGCAAGCCTGGAAATTACAAAATTTTTGTTTAACATTTCAATTCTTCAATTTATGTACATTGTGTATTACGATTATTGCTTAAATTTGAAGGAAGAATTGAAATATGCAATAATATACAGGGGGTTTTATTTAAAAAAATAAAGTTTGATGTGATACAACTTTATGACCGACCCTGTATACTTAAATTTACTAGTAGCTAATATGAATTTAAAAACCCATTACAACAGCATGACAGTTTCGGCAGAATGGCATCATTACATCAAACCAAACACATCGAAATTAATTAAATCGAATCGTTTAAGTGATATTTTCAAAAGTCAATAACTCGGAAACGGTTGCTTTGAGGTACATTGTGTGTATTTTGATTTTTGCTTAGAATTGAAGGAAGAATTAAAATATGTAATAGTATACAGGGGGTCTACTTAAAATAATTGAACTTTGATGTGCCACGACTTTATGAACGACCATGTATACTTAAATTTATTACTCGCTAATAGATATTTAAAAATCCTATAACTTTTGTATTTAACTTTTTGCGGTACCTCCTATATTTTATCTAATAATATAATCGACCGTTTCCATACTTAAAAGCGACCCTGTATATGTATGTTATTAAACTTTTCTTCTTCAAAATGCCTACAAAGATGTAGATCAGTCGTAATAAGAGTTGAGATTGGTAGACAAAATTTATTTTAGTAAAGTTAAATACTTTCCGAAAACATATGTTGAGATTCGATTTATTTTTACTATATCGTGCGTATTTCACAAATTACGACTTTACTGATGATAAATTTGATTATAAGGTGTAAAATTTGTTTCTCGAAAACAGGCAGTAATTTTAAAGTCAACAAATCGTTTGAGAAAACAGTAAAAAACAGTTGTTTAAAACATTTGTTCGCAATCATTATATAGGGTGAGTCTTAAATAAGTGCAAATATTTTCAGGGCTGGTTGCTCTCGATTAAAGAAAAATATTTTCTCTTTACCGTTTTTCAAATAAGTCCATAATAACTGAAATATTTTACTTTGAAAATTAAGAAAAAATTCCTTTGTTCAGTTCCTTTGTGGTTTTAGAATTAGGTCCTTGGATAATGGCCTTGCTATGCCTGTGCCCCTGTCTGTTTCTCCAGTGGACATATACATTTGGATATTCCCAGTACAGTGATTATAATTTTTACTATTATTTTGTTTCTCCGAAGTTGCAAATGTATTAATTTTTGTTAAGAAGTTTCCGTAAAATATTTTCTTTATATTTATTTATTGCGAATACAGCACATTGTCAGTATGTACAATGTTCAAATTTTGACGCTATCAGTGTTTAAATGACTTTCTTTGTATACAACTTAACATATCCAGCAGCTTAAATACACGTCATTAAATTTATCTCGACAAGATGTCTACATTGCGTCCTATATATAAATAATCGAGTTCATTTAAACAAGCGGTGTTCCCAACGTATTATCTTTCAACACAAATTGGATACGCGAACAAAGTCCAAATTTATAAATCTTAAACAATTCCTGAAATTATATTTTCGGATTTGGGAATCTGGGAGATTATTTTTCTCAATGACGTCGTGAGTATTTTACGAATTACAAATTAACAAAGTCGGTTCGTGAGGAAAGAGGAAAGTATTTATTTTAAGGTTAACTATATTAATTTCAATATAGTATAGTAGTAATATACAGGGTGCCACACCTCATTCACCTCGGTTGATTATACGAAAATGGAAAGATGAAGAAACAAAACATTTTATGGGTATATGTGGGAAAACAATGTGCATAATTTAAAATTATTTTGAAATGTACAGGGTGTCTCAGAACTAAGATCCATACCAAAGTTATATTTTTTCTTATGGTATTACCCGGTATTTTATTTAATTTTTGGATTCTTGGACATAAAATAAGGAATTTATTATAAGAGTTTAGCGTTTGTTTTTGAGATATTTAAAGATATTTAAATATGCATGCTATAATAAAAAAAGTTTGTCAACACCTTGTACATTACTTTTCAGAATTAATTCTTGTGCTGACTTTCAAACCAGAGAAATAAACTTTACTAAAAAATTTGATTGCTTCCTTGCTGGTATAATTTAAAAATATATTTTACATGAAA